CATAGAAATGCGCCGCATCACGATCAACGCGAAGAATCAGCTGAATCAACTGGATGAATGAATGAAACAAATTGCTTTGCCTGCGAACATTGCCATTTTGTGCTGCATCATTTCCCCCCATTTCCCCTGACACGGTTATCCTTTGAGTCGAACAGACTCTAGAGCTTCCCGAGCGGCATTTTTTTGGTATTAAAGAGCGGCCCGAGGTGTCGGCTGTAAGCTAATTGGCAGCATGTTCAAAGGCGCCGCCAACAAATTAAGTATGAGTTACCAATTTAGTTTTTATATCTCTATTGCATACAGATATACACGCACACACAGATACGACACACAGATACGACACACACGAATACGGATGCACACTTGTTTAGCTGAGATCTCCGCTTTGGGGAGGCGTAAGAGAATGCACCATGTGTTCTCTCTCACTCTCACTCTCTCCTTCTCTATCTCTCTCTCAACTGGTTTTCTCTCTGGCTACAATGTTGTAATTGCAGTCCTTTGATTGCATTTGTGTGTGCCAAGCTGAATTGTTTACATTTATCATAATCAGCACTGGGCAAAAGTTGTCTGTAAGCGCCGCGGGCGCAGCTTTTCTTTTTGGCAAACGGCGCCAGTTAACCGGGCAACCGGGCAGCCGGGCAGCCGGGCAACTGGGACCTGATCTTGATGTAGGTCGACTAAAGGGCAGCACTTGATCGTCTTAGCTGCGCTCTGCAAAGGGCGTAGGGGGGGGGGGGGGGGGGGCAACGCCGGGTAATTGCTGACAATGCGACTGAGCAGGAAGTACGCAAACACTTTAACAAGCAATCAAATAAAATATGTACGAATGATACAGTCGAGCATGTTGAATGTGTAGATACCCTACTTTGTGCAAACTAATTTAATTTAAAGACAAATTGGAGTAAGAAATAATTGTAATTATTATATAATAATAACATATTAAATAAACAAATTGTTGGATTTGAACGGGCGACCTTTCGCTCGCTGGTTCGACGCTCCGAGACCAAATCCTCATGGACTCATGACTTAATCCCTTATTTGACTGCCTTGTTGTTGACGTTTTTCGTATAAACTTGAGGTCAAATTTTCTACAATTTTAAAAGAAAGTTTTTTGGGCTAATATACCCTTTCACACGATACGTTCTTTATTCCCACCGATGCATAGTTCTTTTCGTAGACTATGATAAAGCTTACCATAGTTTGTATCACGTTTTATTCAGCGAACTTTATCTATCCCCACTAAAATCGTTGCTTTTAGGATAACTTCGGGAGCTGACAGACCATTCCCAGCTATAAGTAGGGACATAGTTCGCCCAAAGGGTCGGTGATATCCCATTACTATCTCTTTATCCTATCTACTTAACAGTCTATATATCGAGTATAAATTTCTTAAATGACACAGTTAACTAAGATTCTTTTTATTTTGTACTTAAGGATTATATTTCCTCTACCTTAGCTATGGGCTCTAATAAAATCTGACAAAATTAGCTGTGAAAAGGTATTCAAATGAGGCACAATCATAATTTGTACAGGCTATAGGAGGAAAACTGAATGATATTCAAATAAGGCATCAATCGAAGCAATTTCCGTTTGCCTGTCAAGCTCCCAGACCATTTGTGCTTACTTCCTTCTGGCCATATGGAATACATAAGCTTTTCACTTAGCCGCGCAATGAACTTAACAGCGCTCGTTTGTAGCGCCATCTCCATAAAGTATCGTTCATTAAGGCGAGGCAGAAAGAGAGGGGAATAAGAGAGGGAAAGAGAGGGAGAGGGAGAGCGGGTCAACTTCTCGTGAGGTGCGTCGATTAGTCATTTTAGTCATTTTTAGTTGATTCGATTAATGAGTTTCGACATTTACGCATTTCTACTTGTATAATAGCCATGTTTAAACGGCATTTGCGGCACTCTCGCCTGGTTTTCTATTTGTTTTATACGGAAACGCCGAGAGTTTTTCCCATAATTAGAGCCGAACAGTTTGCCTCAATTTGCCCGGGCAAATTTCTCAGCTACTAAAACCAAATGCCACCGGTAATGGCCGGTCATTTGTGCCCCATACCCTAGCTCCAGCTAGCTCCGACTAGCTCCAGCTCTTTCGCACTCCCACTAATATCCACCACCTCGTGTCTCTCTCTTTCTCTTTCTCTAGCCAATGAGTTGATTTCAATTAAACGGTTACCAGTGCAACTTTCGCCCGGCACTTTCAAAACGCATTAATCACGCCCAGCTTCACAGATGAGCCAAGGGGCAGGAGGCGGAGGAGGCGGCCTGAAGAGCACGAACCCAAAAAGTTTCTTTATCACGACGCATGCGTCGCATTGTCACACATTTGAAAATGAAAATAAATTGCTTTTAACTAAATGTTGGGTCCCCCCAAATCGGCGGCTGCATTTGCCCAGCTCATGCATATGCAATCGGGACTTGGCTTTCCGTCTAGTTTACGAACTGTTAGAGACAATCGCGTCGATAAGCGCCGAAATTAAACCGAGCCGATCTGAACGCACAGCTCCGCCAACGGTCGGCATCATTAGCACCGGAATTGATAGCTTGATTATTCAAATTATTAACAAACGATCGTTGCCAGCCAGGCCAGGCCGGGCCGGGCCGGGCCAGAAGCGACGATTGATGGCGCGCTTCAGTTTCAGAAAAGCGCTCAGGTGCCGCCAGGTCACCGACAGACTATCCAGTCAAAGTGGAAGAGTTCGACTCGCATCGCATCGCATCGACTCGAGTTGAGTTTATAGTGAAAAATGTGTGCGCCGGCGGCGGCGTTCAAAGCCTTTGAACTGGCCCGCCAAACGGTAGCCAAACGCAAGCCAATGTCCGTCCGCTTTACTTTGAAATATTTGAAAACAAGTAAGGCGATTGACAGACAGACAGACTGATTGACTGCCAAATACCCTGCAAGCAGTGCACAAGTATTAAATAAAGCGCAATTTTGAATGCTCTTCAAAACGAAACAAACATATGCATAGTCTCGGCATACCCCTTTCGAAAGTATACAGGGTATACTTTTTATCATATGTGCTCATATACCCTTTGCTTTCTACTCTAGTATGCGATGTCTTCTTGAAAGTTAATATACAATCCAATATAAAATATCTATTGTTACCTATGTACCACAGCATACCCGTTTTCCAAAGTTTACAGGGTATACCCATTATATACCCTTAATATGTACATTCTCTAAGTATGCGATGTCTACTTGAAAGTTAATATACAATCCAACCTATGCGCCTCAGCATACCCCTTTCCCAAAGTATACAGGGTATATACCCTTTAATATCTACATACTTCAAGTACGCGATTTCGTCTTGAAAGTCAATATACAATATAAAATATTATTTTTTTTTACCGTCCAACCTGTATACCCGCTCGCATACTCTACGTGGTATATTGATTGCTTGAAAATTAATAAATATTGAAATAATTTAAGTATATTTTTGTATGCAAAACGCGCTCGGCTTTAAACACTTGAAGCGCTTAATTTCGAGTTTGATTTTGATTATTATTTTGAACGTGAACGCAACTCGTTTTGCGTTTCTTTGTTTTTGCCACATGATTAAATTAATAATTAATTAGTTTAAATTTTGAATAACGGTTGTAAATAATCATTAATAAAAATTAAAAAAGATTTCTTTGATTTTTAAGAGCCGAACAAAATAAGCAGCACAATTATCGAACTTTGTCAGAATTTTAAATCGAATTTTTTTTTTAACTGAATGTAAACGAAGGGGCGGAGGAAAGAGGGAAGAGGGAAGGGAGGAGTGGGGGGGGGGGGGCACGATTAAATGGAAGCTCTTACGACTTGTTTCCCTAATGACCCGCGACTTCTGTTGCGCTGTTTGCTTAAATATGTTGAAATTTATTGGCAACGGTTTCTAAATTTGCATAACCCATAAAATGGGTTAAAAAGTGTATAAGAAAAGAGCTCAGCAAATGTTTCCGAGAGAGGAAGAGAGGGAGAGAGGGAGAGAAGCGCTTAGCTGCCAGATCTTCCCTAGAAACTGAACCGATTTTGAGCTAGAAGATAAACCTGGCATTACTTAATATAGATACTAAACGCATTTTAGAGCATTCTGAGCCCTGATTGACACTTAATAGATTCAATTTTAATTAAAATACGAGAAAGAAAGGCTAAGATCTAATACCCTTGCAGACCCAAACTTTTCATAATGCTTATAGTGCTTTGCCCGTATCTAAGAAGCACAGGGAAAATAGTTAATGCCGAGTTTGGGCAAGATATATTGATAAACAAAAACGTTTTTACTCAAAAACCTAGTATTCGACCGATCGTTCCTATGGCAGCTATATGATATAGTAGTCCGATGTAAATAAGATTTTGAAAAAATGAAGGGAGCATAGTGAAATCTTTAAATGCCGTGTTTAATCAAAATATCTTGAATGACAACAAAATTTTTCATACAACAACTTAATTTTCTACCGATCGTTCCTATGGCAGCTATATGATATAGTTGTCCGATCTTAATAGGATTTTGCTTATATATGAGGAGTATAGTAAAACTAATAAATGCCGAGTTTGGTCAAGATATCTTAATAACCAAAAAACTTTTTCATACAAGAAAATACTTTTCGACCGTGCGTTCCTGTGCCAGCTATATGATATAGTGGTCCGATCCAGCTGGTTTTGACATATTTGCTGCGTGCAACAGAAAGAGGGACTTCTGCAAAATTTGATTAAGATAGCTTTAAAACTGAGAGACTAGTTCGCATAGAAACAGACAGACGGACAGACGGACGGACGGACGGACATGGCTAGATCGACTCGGCTATTGATGCTGATCAAGAATATATATACTTTATGGGGTCGGAGATGCTTCCTTCTGCCTGTTACATACATTTGGATTTTACACAAATACAATATACCCTTATACCCATTTTTAATGGGCTTAGGGTATAAAATAAGTCATATTCAGCTAAAACAATTACTTGTTTGTATAAAAGTTTATTTTATTCGATTTAATGCAAATTCGATTCAAGGAATATAAAGCTGTTCGACTTTTCTGTCAAACTTCGTGCCAAAAATGACAAAGTTTATCGCATGTACACTTGCTTTGAGTCGAGGTAAAATTTATTTGCTAAAATAAAAATACTGTCAGCTTCTGTTTCTGATCTTTATTGAAGCTGGGCTCACATTGAACGTATTTGAGACTCTTTGGCGTTTGCTTTGGTGGCTCTGAAAAGAGCCGATTGGGTATTTCAAATTGGCAACTGAGTTTGCGACTCCTTGCCCTTGTGTCGAAGCTGGTGGGTTTTGCAGATGATGGCCCGAAATTAGGCCTTGGTCCGGGTGTGGCCCAGAGGCGTGGCAAGGCGTGGCAAGGCGTGGCAAGTCGTGCCTGTGCCTCATTCGCGACCTTTGCCGGGTTGTCATTAGATTGTCACATCCGTGTCAAATAAAATCTCTAGAGAGCCGTAGCCGGAGTGTCCCGGCCTGACCTGGCGCTGAATCTGGCCCTGGCCCGGCTCCAAAATTAAACAAAATGCGAAGCGCTTGATGCTGTCGCTTGATGATAATGTCCTCCTCAATACTTTGCTCGCTTTCTGTACCGTTCATCAGGTTGCATGTGCGCTGAACGCAGCCCGCCGCCCTCCCCTTCATTTCGGGGGCGTTGCCAGCGCTGCCTGGGCTGCGGATACGGGCACGCCTACGCCCACGCCCACGCCCACCATGCCAGCGGCAGCTGCTGCGGCAGCGAGGCCAACCATATCCGCCTCATGCATGGGCTTCTTCTTGAGTATGCTCAGATCGTTGACGTTCTCCAGAAAGGATTTGTGCGCCGAGAAGACCTTGACGCTGTCGAAATCCTTCTTCAGCTCCTCAATGTCGCGCTTCTGCTTGGCGCGGCGATTCTGGAACCAGGTGATCACCTGTGCATTCGAGAGGCCCAGCGAGGCGGCGATCTCATCACGATCGGCGGGCGACAGATATTTCTGATAGAGAAAACGCTTCTCCAGCTCAAAGATCTGATGGTTGGTGAATGCGGTGCGCGATTTGCGCTTCTTCTTCGGCTGCGGTCGGTTCGAGAATATGTCCAAGTGCGATTTGTCTGCCGAGAGCGAAAGAGAGAGAGAGAGAGGGGGATTAGTTGGAGTCTGGCTTGAGTCAAACCGGTTCGAACGAATACTCGCAGCTCGAAGCTCGCAGCTCGAATACACACGAGTGTTAACAAGCGCATTTGTGAGTCGCATTAGAAATAATTTTTAATTGCGCGCGACGAGTGTCCGGCCGAGTGTTAATTAAAATGCTTTGATTTATACATTTAAATGATTTAATTGCAAGCGTTTTGCATGCTCTGTTCGCAACGAGTGCGGCGGGGTAGATGGGCAAGCGATTATCATATCAAATAAACTCTTAATGTAAATAAATGAAAACAAGAGGCAAATAAAATAATAACAAAATTTGAGAATCAGAAAGACTCTTTTCGATTGCATATCTCTTTCCAGAGTATTGTGCAGTCGGTTGCAATTTCTGTACGCGCTTCGCTTGATTAATTGCCCGAGTTGTGGGCGTCATTGACTTGGGCTCTGGTCGCACTTTGTACGGCAATCATTTGTCTCGTTTGTGGCTTGATATATATACTTCATAATTATTGACACCTACAAATCACATACAGCTATTGTTGCCTGATTAATGAGGCAGGAGCTCAGGCTATAATTTGCAATTGTAAAGGTAAGGCTTGCGTAACGCTTCCTGAAACCCAGTTGAAATCGGAGCCAGATGAGAGCTCGGCTCATTTCAAAGCCAATTTATGGACCCAACTGTGCCCTCTATTCATAAATATGCATATAGTACACATACATATGTATATATCCGGATATATTTAGCTATATTCATATGCATATGAACCGGTCTTCACGCCCATTCCATGCCGATTGCTTGTCAAACAAACTAGCTCAGCATTAAAAACTAATTAAACGCTTCGAGCACCGCCTAAATTTGTTATATATATCGTATATTTCAAATGCAAAATGCATTAATTTGGCCCATTTGTTATCTCGAGCACGTTTTGTAACCCAAAACCCATTAGGCACTTGAGCGAGTGTGCGTGCGTATATTTGTTTTTTTTTTTTTTTTTTATCAGAGACTCATTAAGTAATTTCTGTGACTTATCTAAGAAAACGAAAGGGAGAAATGTGCGCTGGCCACTTGGGTCCTGTGCCTGTGCCTGTCTGGGTCTCAGGTGTCCACTTATATGGAGAAATGTTCACTTCAGTTGAGGGGTGGTTTGTTTTGGTTGTAGTCAAAGCAAGACCTTTCACTACAATATGTTCCAGTTGTAATTTGAGTTTAACAGCCGACTGCCCACACTTTCTAAGGAACCTGTGCCCTGTTGCTCGTTGCAACAGTTGCAGTTCACATCTTATGTTTTAATTTGTGTCAATTCGAGGAATTCGAGTGCACGACGACAGTGTGTCTGGCACGTCTTCGTGGAGATGCTCATAAAAAGTTTATTGGAGTTGGTTTTTTACAATGTGAAAGAAAGTAAAGTGTCTAATAATTCCTCAATTGAGTTTGATTACAAACTAAATAAGGTCTTTTAATGTTTGGCAAAACCTTGTCTATGTATTCATTAAAATCATGAAAGTTCAGCTTTCTAGCTGTTACGGCTTAGGCTGTGCGCTAAGCATCAATCAGTCAATCAATCAGTGAGTCAGGCAAGCCGTCAATCAGGACAGTTAATATTACTTTAATATGCCTATACAATTTTACTAATATGAGCAGTTCAGTTTTTTGCTAGCACTTACGGATTGAGCTGTGCGTTAAGCATCAATCAATCAATCGGAAAGTCAGTCAGTCAATCAGCACAATTAATTGTACATATACATGTATATACATACAAGCTTTTGAAAAGTTCAGCTTCCAGACCTTAATAGCCTGCGCTGTGCGTTAATCGTCAATCAATCAATCAGTCAATCAGGCTAAAAATTGTATACAAATATCGATGGTATATAGAAATATTTTGATATTTATAGAAGATAAAGAGATATATCTATACAAATTTTTCACCGACTGACTGACTGATTGATTGGTTGATTGATTGACTAATCTATCTACATATACCCGCGTTTACTTCTTGAATCTCTTACTGTGATGAGTACGTAAGCATTGAAAACCTAAACATATATTCATATTCATATATAGAAGATATATCCATACAACTTTTCGCCTGACTGATTGATTGATTGACATATTTATCTATATCAGACCGCGTTTACTCTTTTGAATCTCCCACTATGATGCGTACTTAAACATTGAAAATCTAAAAATATTTTCATATGCCTATCGATGCAATGTCAACTCTCGCTTCCTGCTCGCCGAGTGTTAATGATATTAATGTGCACACACACCCTCAGGCTCTACTCTCGCCTAGGCCTAAGCCTCCGTAGATAGGGATGTATTATATATGCATAATATAGATTACATGTTTATCGGCTCGACTTCTTGTTGCTGATTGACTAACGATGCCAGCGTCATAATATACACAGTTGTCGTGCAGTCGTAAATATTTCGTTTTTGGTTATACAATATTTTGATAAATAGACATGTTTGAGTGTTAACACAACAACAACAACAACAACAACAACAGAAGCAAAAGATACAAATGCATTTGCCTTCAATATGCTTACGACTTTAGTAGCAGTAGACACAGCAATTTAACCAAATGGCAACGGCATGTTAACAACAATAAAAACAACAACAACTACAACAACAAATAACAACTACAACAACTGGAAAAACTCTATTAGGCAATGAACATGAACAAACTTGGCCGCCGGCTAATTGTTGCTAATCGTCGCAGAATCGACACGAATGCACAAAATATATGAGTGTACCAGCAAGAGGCGCACATAGTCACATTTATTTGTAGCTATGGCTACACTGAGAGAAAACAAATCACAGCTGTCAAAATGTAGCTGTGCACGCAAAATGTTATTCAAAGAACTGAGAGAAAAGAATAGGCAAATCAGGAGGAAGAGCTGTCAACATGTAAAATGTTACTTAAGCAAGTATTCTCTAAAATTACTGAAAACCAAATATATAAAAAAGAGTTTCAAATAGAAATGTTTTAAAATGATTTGAGCTATTTAGCTATGGCTACACTCAGAGAAAAGATTAAACTAAATGTTATTTAAAGAAATGTTCTCTGAATTATCGAAATGCCAAAAGGATTCCAATTGAAAACGTTTTAAAATGTTTTGAGTTCTAGTACGCACCTTTTTCTCTCAGTGTGCTGTATTAGGCAATAATTCGCATGAAAACAGGGGTTGAGTTTGGGGCTTGACACTAAAACCGCCCACTTACTATAGCAAATGCGTGTAAACATGAACTGTGACTTCGACTGTGACAGATGCGGCTCTCAATTCGCGTTGATATGGCAAATTGTGGCTATTAACTATGCGGGAATTATATTATAATACCCACCCCCCACCCCACCCCCCATTCGCTAATATACCATTTATAAATGTTCTCAATCAAATATTGAGTTATCTGTAATTCGTTTTGGCTTTTGTTTTTATTCAGCACATGCCGCCAATTAATTGAAAAAAAAATATACAAAAAAACTGCGAATTAGCCAAAGTCATTTGCATAGAAAACAAATAATTAAAAAATGGTCGAGAGTGAACGACTGGCAAATACCCTACAGCTAGCATATGTCTTTGCAAATATTCTGGCTAACTTTTTCTTCTGCCACGAAAGGTGCTTCTTCAGCCCTTGGCTCTATGGTACTCGAGTTAGATATCGATAGCGAAAATAATATATAATATATATATAGTATATATTTCACATCTCTAGATATCCTCAACTTGGAGATTGAAGATGCTTCCTTCTGTTTGTTACAAACAAATGCACAGGACTATTATACCCCTCTTCGTACCCCTTCAGTTTAAAAAAAAAAGAGAAATAGAAGCAGTTATCGAAATGGGAATGGAATTGCAAATGGGAACAGATGAACGTTCAATTTCAATTAGGCTGAATTCAAAATCCAAGCAAACATTTTGTTGCATTCGCTCAATGGGAAATTCTTAGAAAATTAATTGAACAGGGGCAACTAAATTAATTTCGATTTCGATAACATTTAGCTATAATCGATTGTAGATTTATCGCTTTAGCTAGGAAATTTATGGGCTGGGCTATTTACCTTGTGACTCATCAAAGTCCTTGGTTGTCATCTGGAAGAGCGCATCGAGCGGGGTGCCATTGGCCTTGGCCTTGGCCTCGGCGGCAGCGGCGGCGGCGGTGTTGTTCTGTGCGCTGCCCGCCGCCTGGGCGGGACTCGAGGCGGCATTGCCGGAGCCGCTGGATGCATGACGTTCCCGCTCTGCCTGGGCTGCTTGCGCTGAGGACTGGGGGCTATGGCTGCGGCGCAGGGCGGCGCCGGCGGCGACGGCAGCGGCAGCGGCCGAGTCTCGTGCTATTTCCGGCGAGCAGCAATCGCTGGCCGCGGAGCTGGAGCGATCCGAGCCGCTCTCGGAGGGTATGATGTCCATGCCCATGTGGCGCAGCAGCTGGGCCTGGGCATTGAAGTGCTCCTGCAGCTGGCGATGATAGTCCAGGGCCAGGCGCTGCTCGTAGTGCAGGAGGGCGGAGGGTATGAACGGCCGGACGGGCATCGGCCCCAGCAGATGATCCCACGGACGCACTATCTGTGCGCCGGGCAGCAGCATGGCGGCGGCCGCAGCCGGATGCATGTCCAGCGGTTCGCTGCGCGGATGCAGCAGACCACCAACTGGCCGGGCAGCCGGTGGCGCCAGCAGCGTGGCAGTCGGCGGTGGTGAACTGGACGCACAGCGCTGCTTCTCCGAGTGGCCCAGAATGTCGGCTATGGAGAAGCTCTTGACGCCCTCGATGGCGGACTTTGTGCTGCCCGGTGCATTGCCAGCTGCTGCTGTGGCTGCAGTTGGATTGGGTTGGGCTGGTGGCGGACTGGGCGTCTGATCGCGCGGCTCCGATGAGGAGGAGGACATGCGCAGACGCTTCAGCGGCTGGAAGTAATCCTCCGGCAGCGTGCCGACGGCACCGCGCGTCAGTCCGGCGGCAGCAGCGGCCGCCGCAGCGGCTGCAGCATGTTGTTGCATCAGCAGCTGCTGTTGCTGCAGCAGATCGCGTGGCAGCTGCTGGAGATGATGGGGATGCTGATGAAGATGTTGCTGCTGATTCAGCTGATGCTGGGCCGGCAGCGGGCTGGGTGCACCGCCGACGGAAATCTCGGATTCGGCAGGGCTGGCCGGACGCATTGTGGGCGGACAGAGCATTTAAGAACTTGGGGGGCAAATCTTTCACACACACGCGCGCACTTGAATGTCGGGGAAATTCGGTTGTTGTGTGCGTAGAATTCGGTGTGCACTTTGTGTCTGCGTCTTGTTAATAAATATATATTTAGTACTTATATCAATCAGTGTAACGCGCTACGATAAACGTTAAACGACAAACGTTAAACGACGCTGATCCAATGGGAGGACCTCTCAACTCGACGTTTCACAGTCAACTGTTCGAAACTAGATTGAAGATTGGTTTGCTAACTAGACACGTCGATATTTCTTCAGTTCTTTTGCTGCCCGCGCCGCTCACTTCACGTTTACACTCATTCGTCTGTGCGTGTGTGTGTGTGTGTGTGCGCCGTCTCTTTAACATCGTTTGCTCTCTCGTGTCGTGTCTCGTTTGTCGGTGGTTAAACTCGGCAATCAAATCATAACTGCACACAACAAGCGCTCTCTCTGCACCGCACTCTCTCTCTCTCTCTCGCTCGCTCTCTCTCGCTCTCTCACTCGGCAGTCAACCGGTTTTCTGGTCTGCTCTGCGCCGCGTTAGAGCGAGCCGGCATTAGGTGTGCGCTCTCTTGTGCGCCGGCCAATCGGCTGGCCGGAAAGCGATGCCAGCAAAAAATAACAATGGTGGCGTATACGTAACGGTAATTATGGCGTTCATCAAGCGCCACGCGCCAAGGCGAGACAGCAACAGAGCAGCGCCAAATGAGTGGAACAACAACGAAAAAAGAAGTAAAGAAAAACGCAACGCTTCTCAGTTTGTAACGAGACTGTATTTAGTATTTCAGCCTCAGCAAAAGTTTTCAAAACTTCGGCAGCGACGCCGGCAGAGACTTAACCCCGCCGTCCCCTCTTGGTCGTGGCCTGTGCCTTTAATGACGCATACTAGAGACGACTATCCACGCCGTGCCGTGTCCCCCCCGCCACCGCCATGTTTAATTATCAAGCGTTTGCATTTAATTTGTTGCAAGCAAAAAACGGTTTCATTAATTTGAGAAGCCTGTAAATGACCAGAATAAGATATCACATAAATATACGATTATTTATAAAAGGAAATTACAAAATGATTCAGAGAGGAAAACTGTGATCCATAATTGTAATTGTCAGACAAATTTAAAACGATTTATGTTTTAACTTCGCTAAAAATATTTCAAATAAGATAAACTAGATATTGGAATATTTTTATTTTACTTATAAGAAAAGTTCTAGAGAGAAATATATTTAAACTCTGCCTTAAGACAATAAGTAAATTTAGTTACCTATAATTAAATAATAACTGGTTGTTAGCTTGAAGTTGTATTTATTTCATTTATCTATCCGGGAGATCGAGAATATGCACCCTTTTAGGCGAGCATAATATGTGAACGTAGACTTAGACAAGTCAGTTTTAACTCCAATCAATTTGAATCAAATTTTATATTTTCCATAAGCTAAGTACTCAATCGAACAAGTTAAAGGAAAGTAAACCCGAATCGCACCAGGGAGTCCAACTCAAACCGAACTTTAAGGCAAAGTATTCATTTGAATCGGGAATCAAACTAATGAAATCTATATCTATAAGCCATATGTATATAAACTCTCTTGTGAATTGCACTCCGGAGACGGAGGGAGAGAAGGATAATGTCCTCATCTTATCTATCTGCATATCTAACGAAAAAACCCACAAAAATAAAAGAATGTACGTCAGAAATGTGACAGAAATTGAAAATGTTTTATGTGTTATATGTGACATGCTTGCGTGCATTATCCAATTGTCGACACATTTGCCACGACTTAAACACATTGCTGACACGCATTCTCTCTCTCTCTCTCACTCTCTCGTTCTCCCTCTCTAATCCTTTTAATTGAAACAAATGCGCATTACTCCAAGAACAATAGAGGGCCAAGAAGGCACACAAAGGGCGTCAAGGCGTCTGAGAACAATAGAGACTCGGCTTCTATTAGCTAAACGCACTTAAGAATCAGAAAGAAATCGAATACAAAATCGAAACCAATTGCCGTCGCTGCAGGATGCTAAATGAAAAAGGAATTTAGCGTCGACCACCAGCCGGCAGACGCTCGACTTTAGCCGCAGTGGGTCGCGCTTACCTGGGCTACCTGGCGGTCAGCAGCAGCAGCAGCAGCAGCAGCAGTTGCTGCCCCTGTTGATAAGGACTAATCACACAAATATTTGAGCATTCGGTTTGTGATTGAGTTTCGCCGCGGCGGCCAAACAAAGGCGGCCCGGCCCGTTTGATATCCGCGTTTAGCGCTTCTGTATTGGCCCCTTATTTGATTTCTTATATAATTCTAATTTCTTAACTTGGCTCTGTTTCTTTGCTTGGCGGCTATTAGTGTATATATTAGATGCACGCGGCGTGGGAAAGGCTGCGCTGTTAATTATGCCGCCAAAGTCCTTGGAAAATCCTACACAGAAATTATATAACAGCAAAGCCAATTTACACCTTACACCTGTGCCCCAGGTGTGTTTGTGTGTGGCTTCATTCACACGCTGATAAATTGTGGTTCCTGTGGTGAAAGTGGTGAAAAGGGTTCCATTAATATTCAAATGGCGACGATTTCATTGATTTATCGCCGGAGCCAAAGGGTAACCGGGGGCAGCTGCGGCAGCTGCAGCAGCTTCTGGCGGAAATGCTGCACCATAATTTAGCTGATTTAGCCAAACGCCAGCTATCGCTTGCCTAAATCGCTCTAAACGTTTTCAATTTTTCAGTTTTTAGCCAAATTATGCGGCGCATTTGCCTTAAAAGCAACGCGCTGCCCACGCCCACATTCAACTATTTGTTAAGAGCACATTTGGCCCCGGGGGGCAACACTTCATGGCCAACGCCGGCAACTTGTCTGTAATTGTCAATTAGCAAGCTTTCAACAGCGCCGAGTCGAGTCACAGCTTCCACTTTTTTATACCCTCAACCCAGGGAATATGTTTAGAAAGGGGTATAACAGTTGTGAAAGAGTGTGTGTAACAGAACAGGCAGAAGAAAACAGGAAGACGAATATATATATACAGGTAATTACAAAAGCTAGAGCCTGGCTTATATGAAATATTTATCTATATTTTCTTTCTCGATATCTTCTCCCATGACCATAATAACGATATTATGGATTTCGAGACATGTTTTTTAAGCACAACTCGAAAATTTTAAGAGCTGAAGACTCGTATAAAGTTAAACAGATTGAAAATGAAAAAATTGTTTGCCTGAAATGTTTGTATTTTCACACACTTGTATTTCAAATTTAATCTCGGAAAATCTTAACAAGATCCGACTATAAACACCGAAGCTTATCTAGATTACATTTTCCATAGTGTGGGACTAGAGGAAGAAGTTCTTTAGTGCATAGAATGTATAGAATGTGTAGAATGAAGCTAGAACGATTCTATCTCGACTTGTTCGCATTTTTGAGTTTTAGGGGTTGAATGGCAAGTTTAATCCACGAAATTTTCATTTAGATCGGACTATAAGCACCGAAGTTAAACAACAAATCATTTTTATATAGTGTGGGTCTGGAAAAAGAAGAATAAGCTCGATGTTCTTTAGTGCACAGAATGTATAGTATGTATAGAATGAAGCTAGAATGAATCTAACGTCAGCTGATTATGTCTATCTTCAAGCTTTGAGAGTTGGATGGAATATTTAATTCCTGAAAATTGCGTTAAGATCGGACTATAAGAACCGAAGTTAAGCAAGTGTGTATTTTCCATAGTCTGGGTCTGGAGGAAGAAGTTCCTTGGTGCATTGAATGTATAGTATGTAAAAAATGTAGCTGGAATGATTCTAACGGCAGCTGTGGCTCATTTTGAGTTGTAAGAGTAGGATGGACTATTTAATTCCTGAAAATTGCGTTAAGATCGGACTATAAACACCGAAGTTATGCAAGAATGTATTTCCCGTAGCTTGGGTCTGGAGGAAGAAGAATAAGAATGTATGTATAGAACTCAGAGTAATTCTAACTACAGGCTATCTCCAAGTTGTGCAATCCCTAGTTGTTCACATTTTCGATGTGGCTCATTTTGAGAGTTTCCCCCAGTTTCCGCCAGTTCTCTCTAGTTTCCACAGTTCTTGGTGTGACAGCGGCTGCTTATTTGCATATGCCACGAAGTCGCCTTGGCTCAGCTCCAGCTCGACAGCTCGAAATCTCGAGAGGTCTCGAGATCTCTCGAGATCTGGTCTACCCACGCTGCATTGACACATGGCTGTCATTTGCACTTGCTGTTGATTTGATTTCTGGCTCAGATATGCAGCCGATTCAGCTGCCGTTTGGTAGCGTATCGAAAATTGGCCGACCAACTCTTACAATTATTATTATGCATGTTTTATTGGAACTTATAAATTTACACGCTTGTGCTGTAATTTGACGGCTATTTCGGCTTGATTAATCTGGGTGTGTATTCATATTTTGCAATCTATTCAGATTTAGTTGAGAAATTGTTTATATTCGCAAGTATATTTGGAAGTTGGCCAATTCTAACAAGTAAGAGGTGCTAGTCGGGAGCTCCCGACTTGGGGATACCCTGAATCCTCTTCTTCCAACATCAAATGCATATATATATTCTATTTTAGAAGCTATATGTCAAGTTTGATAACTCTAGCTCTTATTATTTACCAAAATTGCCCATAAAACAGGATATCGATATCGATTTTTATCGATTGCTTGGAAACGGAGTAAGTTATTATCGGATCGATTATCGGAAACAAACTCGATCTGCGCGGGAACTAGGAGCACCTACATCTAAAATTTCAAGTCTCTATCTCTTATAGGTTCTGAGATCCTTGCGTTCATACATACGGACGGACGGACGGACGGACAGACAGACGGACATGGCTAGATCGACTCGTCTATTGATGCTGATAAAGAATATATATACTTTATGGGGTCGGAAATGCTTCCTTCTGCCTGTTACATACATTTGGATTTTGCACAAATACAATATACCCTTATACCCATTTTTAATGGGTTCAGGGTATAAATATAGTTATATAGATTTAAATTTGAATAGCAACGCCTTCGTCTCGCATGTTCGCTCTAGTCTGCGATTTGAACCAGCGTCCTCTACGTTAAAGTGCCACTTGTGCAAATCTGTTATGTGTTAATGACACACATTTTGGCATTTCACTTCTTTAGTAGCAGGCCGCGTTTTTCCATTTGACATACAAACTTTGGCCCGCGAAAAAAGAGAT